AACAGCAAACACCACTCTCAACTTTTCTATCTATAACACCTCTCTCTCTCTCTCTCTCTCTCTCTCTCTCTCAAGGCTACATTGGTTAAAATCAATGGACAACCCCTTTTGTATGACAAATTGTAAATTTTAATGTTTTCATTAGAATAGTCTTTTATAGCACTCTCCAACAAGAAACAATAAAATAACTAACAGCAAACTTCAATACAGGAACACTCTCCAGATTAACAACTCAAACAAAAGTGTAAAATGTAAATCACATATAATACAATTGAAGCGTCCAAAACAATTTAAATAACTTTAAATATTTTATTTCCAGACTGCTACAAACGCTTTATACAATCTTTCAACATAAAGTCCCCGTAACAGAAATGTAACAAAATGGGAATGACAGTGGAAGGGTTAAAGTGGCACAAATTCACCGAACAAGCATCAAACTACAAACTTTAAGAGGTAGATTACTTTAAAAGTTGAGAACAACAACAACAACAAAAAAAACCGTATGAATAAAACCTAGCCATTTTCCACCAACTCAGTCATTTAATTTGGGGGGAAGCATAAAACCACATGGAGAAATGGTACTCATATATTTAGGAAGAGGCCAATTTGTTTTTTTCTTTTTTTATCTCTGATAGAGACTGAAGTATAAAACCTGTTATGTAAATTCATTTACACTTATGTGTAGACACATAGCTATACAGGCCTGGGATGCATCTTGTGCATTAATATATTGCTACATAGTATCTGGTAATAGTTATAAATTAGTGCCAGATAATAACCTGAGAGGATGATGTCCATTTGGATATATAAACATGACACTAGAAGAGGCATAAAACAAGAGTCCATATCCAATCTGGTTTCCTCTCCATTATGCTGGCAATCTGCTTGTGATTAAAAAGAAAAAAAAAAAAAACAGGGTAAGAGATCAGCTAAATGCCTCTCTCTGCGTCTATAATTCATTAAAAAGGAAGGCATCAAGAGCTGGTGTATGACCAAAACATTTTAAGTGAGTGCATCCGAATTTATCATCCCTGAAATCTACATCAAACTACTGAGAAAACAGAGAACTTGCTTTGCAAGGTGAAGTGTAAATCATTCCTTTCTCTATGTGCCAAAAACAGAGGCCACACTCAGATCTGAGTTACCAGTCCCGTGACGAAGAGCCAGTTCATCTGGCCTGTCTTACAGTGCCCTTCTCTTTGGATCTCAATCACCTGGGAGCCCAGCATGCCTGGTGGGCTCCACCGAAGAAGCAGATGCCTGACTCTAACCAGGGCAACAAGAAGCCTGCCGGCAATCAGTTGTGTGTTAGGATTTTTGAGTCAGCTTCAACTGGTCTTGCAAGCTTGGTAGATTTCGTATCCTTTGCCGTAGTGCTTATCCTAAGTTGAGCATGCAATATCTTTTAGTCAATTAAGATTTGTTTTGTTTTGGGGGCTTTTCTACAGGAAGTTCCTAGAAAATAAGAAAACTGAAGATAAATGACAACATAACATAACCTTACATGAATTGACCATGTGAAAGAAAAAGGTGAGCAGACCATAAGACAAATGTTATTAAGACAGCAACACATGAATGTCTCTAAAGGTATTTAGGAACTCGCGTGTCCTACTCAGAAGATGCATGCTGGCAGCAACTACCAGAAGGTCCATTTCTGAATGGTGCGGCAGAAATGCAGACATGAGAAATTCTCATTTTATTTTTTGAATCAATTCATGGCAAATGGGAAAACTTGGTCTGGAGTTTCATTTTGCTTTTCTGTAAGTTTTCTTGACTGGTTGCAATGGTAACTCAGTACAAAAAGAAAAAAGTTGCTCTAAAAGGAGCATTAAAGAATGTAAAAACACCTTGAGATTTTACAAAGGTGAAAAACGTCTAAAAGGCGAGTAGAGATTGTACCTCTTTCCTTCTCTTTGTCTTACTGGAGCCTGTGGATATGAACCCTCAACAACAGATGTAAACTCAGTACCACCAAAAAGCCACAGGTGGGCTCTGACCGCACACTGGCGGAGGCAGAGGGGCTGTCACTGTATTAAGCAAGAGCTGGTTAGAAAGATGGGTGGCACGACTGCTTTCTTTTGCTGCTTTGTCCTAAGAAGAGGATTTGGAGCACATCTTTTTTACACCCTGATTGGCACAATGGCTTGTGCTCTAGGAAACTACCAACTAGTGAACTCTGCTGAGCTCTCAGTATTACGTGGAGAACTCTGACTACATTCACAAGGCTGACTACAAGCATATACTTGAAAAGTTGTGGAATTCTAACTGGCATTCAAATGCAAAACATCTGGGTGCTGGGGACTAGCTCTTAATCACAGTTTGTTGTAAAGAAATATGCAGGGAAAGGATGCACTACCAGTTCTGTGATAAGTCCTTGAGTATGCAACAGGGTAAGTAAAGCAAAATTACTGAAATCAGCGTGAAAGCGAGTTAATTCTCAGCACATAATAGATGCCTTGCATCATGGAATCATACCTAAACAAAACTTAGAAGTAGAACTATACTGAAATGGGAAGACAACTGTAGTTAACACAACTCCTTATCAATGTTATATGACAAATGTGTACTGAGGATGAGTTCTACTCTGGAACAGCCCTGGGTGAGACATTAACGACAATCACCATGTTCCCCAGGTCTGAATCTCCTTAGGAATTCCAGTTTTGTACTAAATTCACTACAAGATACTAAGACCAAAACAAACTTTTTGAAGAAATGCCCACTCTTGAATCCAGACAGTCAAAATATGATGTCCTGTTGAATATTTGCTTTTTTAATTTCCAAAAACACTTCACTTGGAAGTTTCTGGTCACTTGGTAAGAGGACCCTTGGGTAGTACCCCTGCCCTCCTACACAGGTGTCCACAGCACAGTTCCAGTGACTCCCACAGAGGAGGAACAGCTACCACGGGTGCCTGTCGCTACCATCTACCAATGAGGACAACACCAGTGTTTTCTTATCTGATTCTTCTGTGCTTCCTTATAGGCCAAATTTCACTCCAGCAACGTAACCCTCTGTTAACTATCAAACACAGCAAAATAATTAAAATTAGCTGGAGCAAAGAAGGGAGACACAAGTTTTTAGGCACTTTAGTCCTTTGTAGTCTTAAGGTTTCTTCGAAAAGCGCTGGGTGGGTAAGAGGCTAACTGAATGAACTTCATAAATTTACACTTAATCAGAGACCTTTTCTTTATAGTACGTAATATTTCCATATCAACTTTACCCTTGAACTGTATAAATGAGATCCAGTGCAAAACAAGCAATATGGGAGGCAAGAATTGATAGACACTGTACATTCTAAGCACCAAACACCTGGGAGGAGTTTTTTAGTAAATCTGTGAAAATGATGGCATATTCTGGTTAAGACATAAGAAACTTGAAAAAGCCTCAGTCCAATAATGTGCTGTTGGTGTGGAACCTCCAGAACACAGACTGAGCACAAACAGGTACACAGTTAAAATTGCTAAAGGCCTGCAGCTTGGACTGTTGGTAAACAGGTGTTCATTTTTACCATGCTAACCTTCAAGATGCTATTTATGCATGTGCCACAGCCAGAGACCAAATGCTGATGAGATCTATAGCAACTGAACATTTAACACATTTACGAAGTAGCTTTTAAAAATTCCGATCCTTTAATTCTAGTAAATCATTCAAGTCAGCCTTGAGTAATGATTCTTCACTACATCTTTCTGTAGCCTTCATTTAAGGCACACCAGCACCGAGAATTCTACCTGATCATTTATGCAGTGATAATGCCATGTTTGTGTCCTCATGACCTCTCCAAGATAGCAGTCACTCTAGTTATTCCTAATCCTATTTACTTAAAACACCGAAGAATTTTCAGACACCCAAAGTTACACTCATGAAAGCCTAGAGTCAGGTCAGACAGCACACTCTGAAAAGGCAAGACTTAAAAATATTTTGCAGAAATGCTATCTGAGAAATAATCTCACATGAGATCGACCTGTCGGCATTATTCAGGAAATAGCAGGAATTCCAGGAATGCACATCAACTCAGCTTAGGAGCCTTAAAAAGTTTGAAAACTCAATGTAATAAATTTAACTACTGCCATATCGTTTTATCTGTCACTAAGAACAGTTCTTAACAAAGGGAGAACATAGAATAAAAGCAATAAAGTCACCTCAAATCTAAGATGAATCTTTACTTCCTTACTGGGGAACCAGGCACTGATAAATGAGGCAGATCTATCTGCCCTGGGTGCCACCTGTGCCTGAAAGAACCGCAGGTGCCCTCCTCACCACTGAGGCTCTAAGCGCTCCCTCCTGCTCCTGCACCCTCCTGCTCCTGGCCACGGGGCTCTAAGCGCTCCCTCCTGCTCCTGGCCACGGGGCTCTAACCGCTCCCTCCTGCTCTTCCTCCCCACCTTTGGAACCTGGCTTGTTTACTACCCTATGGCTGGAGACAGGCAGGAGAGGCGGATGGAAGATAAGGCACTTTTAAAGGATTATGGGGTTTTGCTTTAATCAATGCAACAAATTTTTACAATCAAAACACTGGCAATAAAAGAAAGCATGAATAATAAAAGCAGTCTTAGTTACCATAACTCTGTTTAAGCCACAGAAATATTAAACAAGATTGTAATGTAGTTTACTAATGAACTCAGTGATCCATCTTAACCTAAGAGATGACCTATGATCGGGAAATAATACAAGTGACACTGAGGTGATACTCAAGATACAGAGGAAATTTGAGAGAATTTCTTTTCATATAGGGTACTTTGGAGAGCTTTTCCACGGTTTCAAATTAAGTTTGCACCTGGCCCTATTAAAGAAATGGTACCACTCTGTAAGTCCTAAGTCTGAAATAAAAACTACTCAACAGCAGCCAGAGCAGTGACCCTTCATGCCCACAACTTACGCAACAGATATTTCCTTTAAATGCTCAGGTCAAAATTTTACAGGAAAAAGAAAAAAAACCCCACCCATTAGCAAGTACACTGTTTTCTCTCCAGTCCTTACCTCCCCCAAGCTCTCAGGCTTACCTGAAGTCCTTCAGCTCCTGCTTGATACTGCTGTCCTCTCTCTTGTTTTCACTCAAGTCGGCAGCAGCTGCCAGCTGAAGGCTTCGGGTGATCGGCCCCCCACTCCGTTCTCTAGATTTTATACTGAACCGGTCTGTTCTTTTCTTACTCGCCAAAGCAGATTTGCTTTGTAGAACAGCTTTGCTTTTCTGCACCCTCACGTGCAGGCTCCGGGACGTTTTGCTCGAGAGCTGAGCAGAATGATTCTTGGCCACAGCTTTGGGCTTCTTCCCCTCAACATGAGTTACCCTGGCCATCCTTATCGGGCTGGAGTTCCTTAGGGAAGAGGAGCTTGGCTTTCTGGACTTAACTGAAGCTACGAATTTGACATTCTGCTTGGACCTGAAGGACGAGGAGGCTGGTGGGCCTTGTGCGGGGCCTGAGCTGCGGGCTCTGGTCTTGCCCAAAGGAGCCTGCGTGTTTTGCATCTTAATCTCTGCATCCGCTGTCCGTCTGCGGTGGCTGCTGTTACTGTTTTTGTCACTACTTGCAGGTGATGAGTGTCCGCCTTTCTTGGATGAATGAGAAACTTTTTTTTTGGCAGGAGAAAGGGGCTTTTTGGGACAGCTGAAAGCTGCATGCTTGTTGAGGCTTCCAATGTAGGTGAATTCTCTACGACAGTAAGGGCAGATGTGAGAGGATGACTCAGGAGAATTTTTTAAGTCTGCCTTCTGCTTGGCAGATTTGTTTTTTTGAAGGATTGCTTTCTGGACAAGCTGATTTTTTTTCTTCAATGCATTTAATTTGAGCTTATTCGATGACATTTTGCTGAGCTCAACACTAAAATTTAGTCTTTTGGGTTGTCCCATTCGCCTGAAGGCATTTTTCCCAGAGTTATCTAAAACCACCACACCATTTTTGGGTTGCACAGTTTGCTTCAATGGTACTGGATTTTTCTTAGGGGTATACCTCTTCTTGTCACTCGCAGAAGCACATGCCAGGATATGTTTGTGTAACTCAGGCATGTTGTCAACACCTTTTCCACATTTTGTACAGCGAATGGCAGTAGTAAAAGTCTGTGGAATATTGTGTGTGGTGAAGTTTGTGGCTGTCACACCAATACCCATGGGGTTTCGGTGATGGTACTGAAATGGAGGTGGTTTAAAGCTTGGATAATGCTGATTGAGACCCAATCGAACATCTGGATCTTTCGTCTTTATTCCAGAAGCCATTATTTTTATAGTTGTGTAAAGTTCTTCAGAGGAATCATTTAATTCCTCCTCTTCTTTAGAAGTTTCTAAAGGATCTTCTGGCAAATTCTGCATATGCTCTATATGGGCCTTGCTGGGATCTGTGAAATTCTGGGGCCTCAGAGTCCCACTTTCAAACTCATGGTGTGTGCACACCTTATCTGGGTGGAGATCTCGCTGGTGCTGCTGCAAATTGCACAAAAAAGCAAATTCTTTTTTACAAACGGAACACACAAAGATATTCCCAACTCCATGAAGCAAAAAGCGATGCTCTGACAAATCAGTTTTATCCTTAAAAAGCTGCACACAAAATTCACATTTGAAGGGCCATTCTTCAGCATGAATAGATAAATGTTTGGTTAGATCTTTAATGGAAAGAAAAGGTGATTCACAGACATTGCAAACAAAGTTTTTGTTGAATGTTTCCTGAACAATATCCTGTTCAAGTGCAGACTGAGGCTCTTCCCTGGGTTTCAGACTTTCACTCCCTAATTCCTCCTGTTTGAAAGATATCATGGGGAGAGAAGCCTCCAAATTATCACCAGAGGAAACAACGGATGACACTGCTGAGAGAGGAGGTGGCGAAGGGGAAGAGAAGGAAGATGAAGAAGAGAACGAAGAGGAGGAGGAGGAGGAGGAGGAAGGGGAGGAGGAGGAGGAAGAGGAGAGTGTTGGAGGCCCGGGTGAAGTGGCAGCCATCAGAGGCTCCACGGGAGGAATGGGAGAGGGAGAGGGGGACACTGTGGGGGACAGAATCGGAAGTGGAGACTGTGCAGTGGCATTCGAGAGAGGAGAGGGACACCGGTGAGGAGATGTGCTGGAAGAGGGGGCTGGAAGAGGCACAGTAGGGAGGAGGGGAGGGGGCGGAGTGGCAACAGTTAACACAGGAGGACAGGGTGGAGGAGAAGAGGGATCTGTGGGGACCAAGAGAGGAGGCAGCTGACCAGAAGAAAGGGAAGATGTCTGTAGGGTGGGTGATGGACAAACATCAGGTGGGGACTCGACAGTGGGGGCTGAGAAACTAGAGTCAGGACCAAGGTCAGGATCTGGTTGGGCATCCAGGGCTTTACAAGGACTTGGGCTCCTGGTCACATCTGCAGTATTTTCTATGGGTAAATCAATGCCATTATATTCATTGAGAAGAACCTTCTGCAGCATGCAGGTGGTCGGTTTCTTTTTCTTTACAGCACTACAAGTTTGCTGCATCGAATGATTTTCTTTGAATTCCTTGCCTTCAGATTCACTACAAGGCTTTTTATGCACACTGAGATCTAATACAGATTCCCATGGGACTGAAGTCTTGCCTGTACCCTCAGCCTTCTGTTTGACACCGCTGGATAAATCCAGAGGCTGCTGGTTGCACACATTGCTAAAAGTAGAACTGGCTGCCCAGTCTTTAGATATTTTATATTCCTCAAAGCACGGAGGGCTTCCAGTTTCTTTCTCATCTCTCCCAGACAAACTCCACGCTGGTGAGTTGCTATGACTTTCTAATTTGGGTTTCTTGGAAGTCAGAACTGCATCGGTCCATGCTGCTTTTCCATCACTTGCCTTCCCGAAGTCTCGGAGGGCAGGACTGTGCTGTGGAGAACTGGGAGGAGAGCTGGTCCGCCTCTTAAACCTACTTGAGGTCACCGGCAACATAGACGCGGGAGCAGACACACAAACAGGACCTAGTTTAGGTATTTCACTTGCTGAAATCCCTGCAGGAGGAGCTAGTTTATCCTGGGTTTGAAGAAGCTGTTTGAGCTTTGACGACAAATACACACTTTTCTCCTTATGGAAAGATACTGTCTCTGTCGTTGATATGCTAAGAGGCAGACTCAAGGAACACGAGGGTCCTGCAGGGTCAGAATCTGTTTCAGCTTTAATTTTGGGTAGCACAGGTGGACTAGCAGTTCTCCGTTTCTTGGATTCACTGTTTGTGCTGCTGGAAGGCTCTTTAGGAAAATCATCTGTTATAGGGACCTGTGTGGTCTTTATATTCTGAGTGATTTCCACTGTAACTGGAGTGAGCAGACAATTTATACCATACAAGTCTGCCGAATTAGATTCCATCTCAATCACATCACAGTTACTAGTGCTGCTGTTAGTCTGAATTTTACCATCAATATAGTAATTTAAGTTTTCAGAGATATTGCTAGAAATATCCATGATGTACACATCATCTGCTTCCCCTTCCTCCTCTGGCTCTGTGCTTGGTACATAGATGTTCTGGGTGGGTTGGGCCTGTTCAGCTGGAGGCTGTGGCTCTTCATGGAGGCCTCCTTTTCGCCGTACACCTTTGGGAATCAGATGGCGCTCATGAACTCTACGCTGATGCCTTCTCATATTAGTATGAGTTCCAAAAACCTTTTTACAATATTTGCACGGATGAAGTGCTTTAACTTCCCCATTCTCTTCTATAACAGAAGAATTTACTGTTTCTTGGGAAGCTTTCTCTGAATTCAAGATCAGACAGTTTTGCCCAAGATAGGGAGGATGCAATTCATCTTTAGGAGCAACACTTTCTCCAGATACTCTGCCATCAGCGAGGTCCTCTGATGGCTGTAGTGTTGGGCCGGTTTTCCGCTTTAACCCTGCTTCATGGCGACGCTCGTGCCGCCGCCTGTTAATCTGTGTGCCAAATGCTTTCCCACAGTACTTGCATTTGAAAGCATGATTGACTGTAGATATATGGATATGCATGTGACGTTCAAGCCCCTGTTTGGTTGTAAACTTCCTTTCACAATGTTGACATGGAAACATGAATGCTTCAAATATATCACCATTAGACTCTTCTTTAGTTTTGGGGATTCTGATAACAGGCGCTACCTCTGAACAGTCTTCAAGAGTTTCTTCTGAAATATCTTTTGGTTCTTCTAATAAATCTTCTGGCTTCTCATCACATCGTATTTCTGGTTCTTTCACAGAATTTTCATTCGGCATGTCGGCTTCTTCCTCCCCCTCTTCTTCTAACTCATCATCATCATCATCATCGTCCTCCTCCTCCTCCTCTTCCTCCACATCATTCGCCTCACAATTTGTTGCTTCTGGTTTCTCGTCTGGTTCTGGCTGTGACTCACAGGCAGGGGGAGGAGTAACTAGTTCTGGAAGCACACTCTGACAAGCTACCTCCTGAAGAATGGCCGGCTGCTCAAGTGCCGATGCTGAAGGCTTCTCTTCCTCTTCTTTAGGACCTAGAAAGCACATGGAGCAGAGGCACAGAAGTGAAGCATGGAAACCAGCCACGTTGTGATCAATTTGTATGATTCAAGTTATTTCCCTTACCACCTAAAATGTGTAAGGGAGATTACAATTAACAATAAATAACTCGTACTTTATATGTTTCATTTATAGAGTTGTGTTAGGTATGAGACTATTTCACTCATTCATTCAACAAATATTTACAGAGTGTCTGCTAAGTACCAGGCAACATTCTGGGCAATGATACATACATGAAACACAACAGACAAGAATGTCCATGTGGAGCTTAGATGCTCTTCTGTGTTTAGTCACACAAATAAATATGTATATACATCTTTGTTCACAGTAACCATAGTGCTAAGTGTTGGAGTAGCTGATATTAAATTTCTGAAGACTAGCTGTAAATTCCAATGTCTCATGATTCCAAACTGAAATGAGGAAATTGCTAAGCATTATCACCAGGTTAGATTCTTCTGTCTAGAGTAGATGAGACTCTCTCCTTCCTGACTAAAACTATGTATTTAAAAGCTAGAACATTTTCGAGAATCATGTAATCAGAAGTTTTTCAAGTCAAAGAAACTTTGGAGAAACTTAGGCTGTTCTACCCCAATCAAATTATGAAGAACTCAGGAGAACCTCACAGAGGGAAACAGAAATCTGCCTAGCCCAACCTAAAGTGGATGGGAGACAGGCAACAGGGGAAGGAATTGCTAGTAAGGTGAAAACTGAGCAGACACCTGAAGAAAATAAGCAACATAAATATCCGGGGGAGGGAAGCCCTTTGGTTAGAGGACACAGCAAATGCATACACTCTAAGAACACGCTAGATGTGTTCAAGGACCAGCGAGGAAGTCAGTAAGGTAGGGGGGAATGGGCGGAAATTGAGAAGAGGAGGGAAGAAGGCAGATGAGACCAGAGGTCATCAAGGTCCTGCTTACACAGGACCCTGTGAGCTGATGACCTTTATTCTGAGTGAAACAGGGATCAACCAGAAAGTCCCAACAGAGAAACATGATAGGATTGGACTCATATTCAAGAGAACCAATCTGGTTGCTAAGAGGAAGATAAAACCCTAGGTGGACAAAGGTGGAAGGAGATGGACAAAAGAGGAGCCTACTGCACCCTCCAGGAGAAGGGTAGGATGGTGACCCATGAGTGGCAGTGGAGGAAAATGGGGAAAGTGGTCAGACTCTGGATATAACTTGGAGATGAAGCTGACAAGATGTGCTTGTTGACTGGCTGTGGGGTGAGAGAGGAGCCAAGGAAATCCCAGGCAACTGCAACAATCCCGTTTACTAAACTGCAGAGGACTAAAGGACAGGCAGGTTTGGTCTGTGTGCATGTTGGGAGAAAAGTCAAGAGTTTACTTTGGATGTGCTGAAGTTTAAGGTACCTGATACAGACATCCAAGTGAAGATATTAGGTAGATAGCTTCACATGAATCTCAAGCTCAACAAAGAGGCTGAGCATAGAAATGTCAAAGTCCTTAGGGTAGAGAAGGTATTTAGAGACTCGACAAGGTCGCCTGGAAAGCAGATGAAGACAGAAGGTGGGGGGACAGTGTTCCAGACAACTCAGTACTGAGAGGGGGGATGGCCAGTGAGGGGCCTAGAGAACCAAGAGAGTGGTGACCGGGAGGCTAAGGAAAGAACATGTCTCACAGAGGGAATGATCAGCTGTGTCCAAAACTGCTCATGGTTGGGTAAGATGAGGACAGAACATTCCATTTACCAAGGTGGAAGGCTGGTGACCAAGCCAACAGTTTTAGTGGAGTGGTGGGGACAGATGCCTAATGGAGTTCATAAGAGAATGGGAGGAGGCGGAAGAGACGGGGAGACTGTAAGCAACTCTTCTGAGACTAGCAGTAAAGGAAAAGAGAGAAATGGGGTAAGAGTTGGAAGGAAAACAGGGGACTCTTAAAGACAGAGCTGTAATGGCAGGTTCAATGTCGATAGGGACAGCCCACAATGCTGCTTTCCCTATAGTAGCACTTGCTACACTGTTGAATTAGCCCCTTTTACTGTAGACACCTGAAGATATAAGAAATGCTCTGGAGAGGAGACAACTAAGATGACTTCTCAATCACTTGACAAATACTGAGTGGCCACTATATGCCAGCACTAGCTAACAAGACCGTCACATCCTCACCCTTACAGACCTTCGCTTTAGCAGAAGCTACACACAAGTAAGCAAGCAACGAGACTGTAGAAATAATGGCTATGCTTGTGGAAGTATATGTGGAACGGAAACACACAGGGGAGCATGTGATATGGGCATGGTTCATCAGGAAAAGCTTCTGAGAGAAAGACTAGGCAGGCTGATCCTGACAGATGTCAGAAGCAAGGACAGAAGAGACAGAGTAAGCAGTGAGGAGTCAAAACATGTAGGGCATTAAAGGAGGGTAGAGTTGTCTGGGGGCAATGGGGACCCACTGAGGCATTTTAAAGCAGGAGAGCAACATTTGGGAGATCTGGCTGCAGGATGGATTATGGGGTGGGGAGAAGGACGTTACTGCAGGCCGCAGACTGAACTGTTACAGATGAGGCTGCTTATGCTAAGAGGGAAATGGGAAGAAGCAGTGGCAGCAGGAAAGAGTGGCCAGACTGTCACGATACAGAGGCCTGTAGACAGACACAGGGATTGCCTACATACAGGGGAGAAAGGGTCAGAAAGGCCAACGGTTGTGAGCTCTGCAAATGCAAGGTATTAACACAAGCTCAGTCATTCATCCTAGTCCTCTTGCTGTTTCCTAGGAATATCACCCTTACTTTTTCCCATCTCCTACTACATTTACTAGCAATGCTTCTAAACAGAAACCAGGCTTCTCTCCCCCTAGACGAATTTCATCAATTCCATGAGCTTTCCACAAACTGGGAAACAGTCATTCGATGGTGGTAATAATGTATTTCGAATTAGGAGCTAACTCTCTTTTCAAATACATTTTCAACAAAGACCCAGAATGTCACCAAAAAAGTTAAAATGAGACAAGAGAAAATGCATCTCTAAGACTCAGAAATTTCTTTGCAGACTTTATTTTCAGTCAAAATCTGTGGCTTCTGTTGATGGGGGAAAAAACGTTATTACATGTATGAGTACACAATCCCAGATTTAAAACTGTCCAAAGTAATATGAACCTAAACATACACAGCTCCATTAACTAGTAAGGCCCGTGCCAAAGCATATCCACACACTTGATGTGGTTTGCTGAGTTTTAAAAGGGAATTTGGGGGGCCAGCCTGGTGGCGCACTCGATAGAGCGCGGCACTTGGGAGTGTGGTGGCGCTCCCGCCGAGGGTTCGGATCCCATATAGAGACCAGTCCGCTCACTGGTTGAGCGCGGTGCGGGTGCGACACCGAGGGTTGCGATCCCATTGCCGGTCACGAAAAAAGACAAAAAAAGGGAATTTGGGGAAACTCAAAGAAGAGTCTGAACTGTCTGCTCATCAGAAACCATTTGCTGAGGACAACACAGAACATTCGGGGGAGGCCTACACCTCACTGCATACAACCAACCTCACTCTGCCCAGCTGTACCACCAACAGGTGGTAAATAGCAAGTGAGAAGAGTTTCATGGGACCCAATGTTATATTAGGCAAAAAGAAATATCTTGAACTACTTTGGGGGGAGGAGTGGGGATAGACTGTTGGATTTTTTCATTTTTCTTATTCTGCCACCAAAGGTACCGAAGTTCTTTTCTTTAGTAATTTTTTTGTTCAAACAAATGTCTTAGCAAATCTGCTATTAGGAGGCAGAACTTTTAGGGTTCTGGAAAATGAACTTGTCTACTCTTGCTTCATAAAATGGCACTGAAAATTAAAATCCTTTATGAATGTCATCCTCACAAACAGTGCTAATAAAATGGTTACAAAAGGCATCAAAAAAAAAAAAAAAACCCCCCCCCCCCCAGTACAAATGTTCCTCAAGTCACAATTCTGCATTCTGAAATTTGCCTATTTGGGTCGCCATGAACAACTCTTGAGCAAAATTTGTCTCTGTGTAAATTCGCCCATAACAACTGAAGACATGCCTCCCTCACTGCTATATCAGTCTCAATATATTGCTCAATTCAATGTGCACAGACGTTCTGATTAACTTCTCATCCACGCCCCTCTGTGAATTCTCACATCAGAGAAGGCCTAGAATATTAATCCTCAGAGGGACTATAAGAAGAAAACTTTGTGGGGAAAAACACAGAGATAAAATAAGAATTTTTAAATTAAAACAGAAACACTTCTCATTCTGCACACTCTTCATTCTGTTATATAAAATCAAAAGTGCTATTTTTAAGTAAATGTTTAATTGGAGTGTACAACATGCCTATATTAAAGTGTATAAATTATAAGTACATATAGCAAGATAAAACTTTTACAAAGTACACACACCCATGCAACCACCCCAAAGACCAGTAATGGACCATGACTTGTACCCCACAGGACTCCTAGTGCCCTGTCAGTCTGAATTCTATCAATGTAGATTCCTTTTGATAATTTTGAACTTTATATTATTTATAAATGCAATCACACAGTATGTTTCATTTTATTTTAACGAGAATAATTTCATTTTGAACACAGAAGGTCTTTAATAATGTAAGGTAGGATGTGGAACACTCCCTTCACAATATTAAATTTAGACAGCTTTTGCTGTTTCACCCCTTTGCAGTTCTCCGATGATTCTCAGAAGGGCAACAGTAGGAGACACAAGTTGAATTAACTAGTAATACATACCCACATCAGACAAGCCCAACATCAACAGCTTACCTTCCGCAGAATCTCTCATATTTGCAGAGGTGGAATTTGCAGAAGAGCCACTTGTCTTCTGCTGTATGTTGTGAGTTTTGTTTCCTTTGTTTTTACTTTCTTGGGATTTTTTCTTCCCTGAAACACAATATTTATTTTTTTTATTGATTTATTCATCCACTCATTTCCTGAAGGAGACAATTATTAATCCAATCACAGCAAACTGTACATGTCTGGACAGTTATCATTTCAGATTCCTAAAGAAAGAAATGGATGACGAATACAAATACTTTTAAGTCATGTCAGGAAAAAAAAAAAAAACATAAATCCTGTATTTGGGGAGATAGTGGGTTTTAGTTCTCTTTATAGCTATACTAGCTATCAAACTTAATAGATAATATATTCTTGAAAAGTTACTAATTTTGATGTCAAAGGAAAATTAGTAATAGCACTGAGCCTCAGGACCACACAAATCATAGGAACTGGCAGAAGTCAGGATATTTGTAAGAACCATATTAGAGAAAAACAACATGGTACAACTTGGGGCCATTTCAGTTAAGATTATGATCACCCATAATTGAAGAAGTAAAATAAGCAGAGATTCTGCAGAATTACAGGGCCATACGTGCACAACGGCTCAAATATCAAATGAAGGGTCAGCATGAGTTGGAGGGCCCGGAGGGACTCAACTCTAGGTCCAGTACAATTCAATATTTCATTAACAACTCAGAGGACAAAATGCAGGAAACATTAACTGCATTCCAAGTGACATCATACTTTAGAAGATAAGATTAAAATGCCACATATTTCTGATGAGCTGGAACAAAGACTTAAAGTCATGAAGAAGATACTCAACAAAGATAAATGAGTCTATGTAGAAGTACTAACACTGAAGGTTCAGAAGCTCAGTCTCTTTAGGATCTAACCTAAATTTTAAGCCTTCTTTTCCATCTTTTAATTTCCAAATTTCTTTTTCCTGGTAGCTGGTGTCCTATACTGCTCTCTTCAAACAGGCCTCAAACAGCTCCCAGAGCTGCCCTGTCTCTTCTGGGACAAGCCTCTTGCCACCTTTACCTGTGCATTAGTAAAATGACAAACTAGAAACCACTTATAGCTTCTGGAAGACATGGAAAGTTATAGTCTTCATTACAGAGAATTGCTACAGAAGAACATAATTAGCCAAAATGTAGACAACAGATGAAAACGAGGTCAGAGACAAAAAATGCATCACTGAAAAGAACATAATGTTTAAAAGTAGAAATATCAATTACAACACAAAGTAAACACTAATACTAAAAACACCACCTGATTTTGATAAACTTAAGAGATGCAATAAGAAAAAAAGAAAATAAAATACTTAATAATCATCAGTCATTTAGTTTGTTAGTCTTAAAAAACAAATTCTAAAATAGCATTTTAAATGTCTAATTCTTTAACCTGTAAGAAAACAGAAGACTTTTTTTTACAACTATAAAAGGGTTTGCTCATATAAATTCATGGTAACCGTTCACTTCTAAAGGCAATTAAAATGGAACTCGGGACACAAACATACGCTTCACTGGAACCACATTCTGGTGAGAACAGGAGTCTAAGGTCTGCGTGAAGATGGCCAATTCATGTCTCCAGGTGAAGAATCATAAACCAATCCCCCCTGCAAGTGGCACAAACATAAACGTCTTTCCACATGTGGAACCTTCTCTCATGATTCTTTCTCCCTCTGTAACCTTAACAGCACTTAGCCTAAATCTGATGATGATAAAGGCTCTTGAGGGATCCAGTTGTGTTTGTGGGAATTTGGATTCTACCTCCTTTCAACCAGTTTTCTTATCCCCAGAATGACATATGTCCTTCCCATGTAGGTGATGCTTGGTCTCAATCAGATTACTGATCCAAACAAAAAGTTTATCACCCCCACACACAAAATGCAAATATAAATGACTGCATACACAACAGAACTGCTCTAGTGCTGCAGATGGTATCTGAAGAAATCTACAGCTTCTTTCATTACATGTAAAGGGCTCCTGGATAGCCCTCACACGCTTGATTCAAAAGTTATATTCAGAAAAGTTTTTCCCTGAATCAAAACCATGAAATTTTTATAAGACATCAGTACCACCTCATGTATCCCAAACAGGCCAGATGTGACTTTTTCTTGCTGACTATTTACTTGCTACTTTGTATGAGCTTTTGAAATAAATTAAAACGAAGAGGTATAGTGTAAACTTTGCCTCCTTGCATAAACCTTACATATGCTAAAAAAAAAAAAGGTCACATTGTAAAATTTAACAGAAAAACAGATGTCAATCTGTTGTAATACAATCCCTTACAAAGGCAATTCAAAGATATCCTGCAATAGTTAGCAGGTCATATGAAAAAACAAAGTACACTGGTCTACATGCAAATACAGTATAAGAGAAAATTCTAGATTTCTAGTATAATAAAATAAAGCACAATTTTAATAATACCATTCATTAAGATGTACTTGAAATAAAACTGCATAACTATCTAAAAGGTAAGGTGCTACTTTAAGTTTTATTGCCTGCCTAAAAGAACATTAGAGCACCCACCTGATACTGGATATCAAATGTCCATTTTTGGACGCCCAAAATCTAATCAATGAGAAGTTCCTTTACTCCCTCCCCCCACCAGGTGTTGTCTTTGAATGACGCTGACCATGGAAACCTAATCTGCTGTGAAGAGAAACCACTTGCAGTGGGTACATCTTCTACCCTACTCAGAGGACTAACAAGAGTATCACTGACAGTTACTGGGTACCTGGGCATCTCAACCGTGGCATGAATGGCATTCAAGGCCAGATAATTCTCTGCTGTGGGGGCTGTCCAGTGCACTGGGGGATGGATTTTAGCAGCACCTGTGGTCTCTACCCACTATGTGCCAGGAGCATCCCTATTCCAGTTGTGACAACCCTAAGTCTCCAGATAAAGCCAAATCTCCCCAGGTTAGGAACCATGGGCTAAACCAACGTATTTCTGGGTCAATAAAGACATATGGGACTCTGGAGTCTATATAGTTATTAAAAATTACTAGAAGTACCTGAATAACATTAATAAACCAATTCTAAAGAGAGGAATAGAACCATTAAATTTATCAAAGTAACTCTGGTGAACACTAAAGGACTTAGTTTATGATACAAGTGAGTCTATCATGACTCCATCATACTTTCATGGAACTGAGGTTATCTGACATATGAAACAATTTTCTCAATCCTAATCAGAACCATCTATCAAGTTACTTCCTATAAGGGCCTTAGATGACAGACGAATAGGCTATCAAAATCACCTGTCCAACCTGCTGTTTTGTAGGAGAAACTGAAGGTCAGGGCCACAGAGGCACTAAGCAGTCTATGACAGAACAGAAATCAGAACCAGGAGGTCCTGGTCACACTCACATATGCTTGGTGTCACTCTCAACGCCAAAAACTGCGACAACAGGTGGTGGAATCTGCCACATTTCCTTACATCAGTAAAGTTTTTTCCTGATACTTGATTTCTGTCCTATATGTCATCAAATTAAAAGAAAAAAACAAAACAAAACCTATAAGGACTTTTACAAAGGGGCGCGGGGACTCATGAGCTACTGGTGAGGCAGGAGGAGCCTGGTAAGCACACGAGTGCACTTACCATCGGGTTCCTGAAGGGTCCTACATGGCGCTACTGCCAGCTGGCTGCTCCACTTGGTCTAGACAAGAAAGATACAGGAATGAAACAGGAGGAAAGCGAGATGGAAACGACGACAGAGAACAGCAACAAGGACAGGACAAAATTCTGTGTATGTAAGGAAAAGAAAAGCACATATAAAGATGAAGAAAACTGAGTGAAACAGAGGGAAAACAGCAGTTATCTACTGCATCAAGGTTCTCACATACAAAAACACAATTTTTAACTGTGCGTAAGTAGTCACATGTTTGCTCTCAGGCCAGTGCCATGCCTGTGCTGTAACACTAATGTGCTTATGATTTATGTACCATTCTGCTACAAGACCCCAAAGTCCCAATCCATGCCTCTCATTTTACAGAAGAGACACCCAAAGACCAAAGATGTTAACTTATCTACCTGAGGACACAACTACATTAGCTCTAGAGCAAGAACTAAAACTTGAGGATGATAATGCTAAAAGTGCTTTTTCTCCTAGTTATTTCTTAAGATCAATAATGGCTTAACAAAGCACTATACATCTATTATTTCACTAGGTTCCAAAGGCAAATGACCAAAAAATAAAGTTTTATAAAGGCTTCTGCTACATTTATATAATAAAGGAACAACAATCAAACTGGAATGCAGTTTTTTTCCTTCTCAATTTTATTGTATGCCAGAAACAAGTATCAGTCAACAGCACAGAACCCCAATCTGAACAAATACAATTCACCACTAAATAATATCAATGAAACTAAGTTTTCTAGTGGAATATCTACCATGTGGTGGCATTCACCAGCCATGACTACATTCTAAGACAACATACAGCATCATACTGCTGGTGCCTGGGCTGTGAGCTGCAAGATCAAAATTTCCTAAAGCATCACATGAACAATTTAATAACCTATGTCTGGACTATGTTCTTCTATTCTAATAAACTGGACAAACATTAGGAAATTCTACAGAATAATGCTTCACTTAAAAATGTTCAGGCTGGGGCCGGCCCGGTGGCGCACTGCCACAGTGCGCTGCTTAGGAGCGTGGTGGCGCTCCCGCCGAGGGTTCGGATCCCACATACAGACCGGTTACTGCTCACTGGCTGAGCGAGGTGCGGGTGCGACACCGAGGGTTGCGATCCTGTTGCCGGTCCCGGTCCGGTACAGGCGCAACACTGAGGGTTGCGATCCGTTGCCGGAC